AACTGATAATAGTTTAAATTACTTCATTCGTTATCGTGATAGTACATCACAACAAAACTGATAATAGTTTAAATTACTTCATTCGTTATCGTGATAGTACATCACAACAAAACTGATAATAGTTTAAATTACTTCATTCGTTACCGCGATAGTACATCACAACAAAACTGATAATAGTTTAAATTACTTCATTCGTAACCGCGATAGTACATCACAACAAAACTGATAATAGTTTAAATTACTTCATTCGTTACCGTGATAGTACATCTCAACAAGACTGATAATAGTTTAAATTACCTCATCCATTACTGTGATAGTAGATCATAACAAGACCGATAATAATTTAAATTACCGTTACCGTGATAAGTACCTAGCAAGACCGATGATAGTTTAAATCAGATGATTGTTGGTTCGCCAGTTCTTTTGAATGATAATAAAGTTAATTTGCATAAACTGGTTATAATGGATAAAATGTGGCTAGTTTTCATGAAAGCCAGTTGGTTGAACCATGGAACGTTTTGTTGTTCTTTTCAGTACTTTTCACCAACTTTTTTTAGTTGCTAGCACAAGTAAGTATTATGACCTTTACTAAAGTTTTAAGTGAATCTCTTCATAAAGAATAGTTTCTTACGTAATTGAAAAGCAGGAGACAATTTATTCATCTTTAACATTTACACAAAACTGAACAATTATCTTTTTATAAGTCATTGAGCCTATGCTTTTAAAACTGTTTTCTGAAAACATTTTTTGTTAAACTAACTAAACTTTGCACTTTTTAAATGCATTCAGCTACTGCAGATGTTTCTATAAATACTAAGACATTTGTATAGTTTTCAAGTAACAGTTTTTATTTTGAATAATCTGTATGTGTTATATTTTGTGCAGTTACATTAGAAACTTGGGAATTATATCGTTAATTATATGTAACTTTACCACATTAGTGAGAAAAAGATTACAGATGACACCTTTCTACCACCTTATGCAGCAGGAGAGCTCTGTTTTATGTTCCTTGAACAAGGAAGAGACTCGGAAGCTTTAGAATGGCTCCATGTAGCGAAGTAAGTCTTTAGAATATTTTACCAGTCTAAGATGATTTCATAGACATAGCTATGCGGAGTCTTTCCAAATAAAAAATAAAACCCAATTTGTATTAATTGTGTATCGTCACTATAAACTATACTAATACTGCATTCATATAGAGAAGAAAATAGTTTTAAGCGGTCGTAAAAACGTTCATACGCTGTATACGCATTATGTTCATACGCATTAAGTTCATGATATACAACTAACTAAAGGATGATTTCACACGCTGTTATTCAGTTTCCAGTGCTACTAATACACTTCAGCTTTAATTAGGATGTTTCAAACACAAATACTTAATGCATTTAAGTAAACCAAGATTATGTAGAGATTATCGTTGTGTGCATTCAGTTAAATAAGGGGGTTTCATACACAGTTATGGTGTACATTTGGCTAAGTGTTGTATGTTTTTTGGGTTTCATACACAGTTATATATATGCCAGTGGCAATATAAAGATTGAAAGTACATAAGAATACAGTTATTCATGTCTACTGGGCTTTATTATCTAAATAATATTTTATTTTATATTTTAATTTTTTTAAATAAAAAAGCAATAAGTAAAATGTTATTTTAAAACATATCACTTAATATAAGTGTCTATTTTGGACGTATATATAAACAGTGCTTGAAGTGGGGCATGATGCTATCCCATGTCTATTTTGAAGCTAAGTGTTGTATGTTTTTTGGGGGGGTTTCATACACAGTTATGGTGTACATTTGGGTAAGTGTTGTATGTTTTTTGAGGTTTCATACACAGTTATGGTGTACATTTGGCTAAGTGTTGTATGTTTTTTGAGGTTTCATATACAGTTATGGTGTACATTTGGCTAAGTATTGTATGCTTTTTAAGCATTTTTGTTGTTTCATGATCACTAATTAGTGAAAAATATTTTCATATACTATTAGTACTTTAAATTAAGATCATAATTAAGGATTTTTACACGTAAAAATTGGATACAAGAAGCCAACTAAAGTATCTCATAACTTACATTGTAAATTAAGCTAAGTATCAAAACGCTGTATATCTGTGCTGTATGATGTAAAAACATAACTTTGAGTTACACTCGTATTTTCTCAGACACAACTACCATGGCTATCTTACTGAAGTGACTCTACACTTTCGGCTCCATGCTGCCCACAAGAAGCTGCAAGCTAGGAATCATTCCTTCACAGATCTTTCAGGAACATTATCCTCTCTTCCTTGCCATTCTCCTCAACCAGCCTTCCCTTCCATGGTTGACACTTTGGAGATTTTGTAGTCCTCATCTTCTGAGTCAGGTCATCCTTCGATCAACATTATGGTTCCTCTTGAATTCTTAAAGTCAACAATAAATGTAACATTTGTATTTTTTAATGTTTCTCTTCAAAACATTTCCTAAAATTTGGTTATCTTCTAAAATAAAACTATTTGTATACTTTTGTTAAATCGTAAAACATTCACATTGGAAATCCAATTGCTTGAATGGTGCAACTTTATTATGTATATATTCAATGTTGGTCACGTTATTTAAAAAAAGTAACTTTTTTACTCATCACCTGTTGTTGTTGTTTTGTCAGAAGAGAGTAATATAATGTTCTTGCACATTAATAAATTTAAAAATAAGCACTCTGTATTATTTGTTACATGTTACTCGTTACATTTGTTTCTGTTGACTTGTAATGCAAAACATCTATAACTATTTCTTACTTTTTTAACTATACATCAGGAAATGAATTTATTAAATGTATATCAATCTGAGTGAATAATGCGCATGTGCGTAATTAGCCAGATAAAAACGAAACTTGAAACCTCAGTGCCGATAAAGCCATTTTATTAGCTGATTTCTAAAATTGATCTTGGCAGCCACACAAATAAAAAATCATATTTGGCACATCGTTTGTATATTTTATTATCTTATAATTTAGAAACCGAAAGTTATTATGCCTTTAAAAAAGAAAAGGGCATTAATGAGAGAGAGAGAAGGTAATAAGAGAGAGTAATTGTAATAACATTACTTCCATAAAACATCCAACGTGTTATAATACCTCATTATCGGCAAAAGTAATATTATACTACAGTAAGGAGTTATTTAAATAACACGTTACCCCAACTTTGATTATATATTTGTTTGGAATGTTTTACTCGTATAGAACTCTAGTTCTTAATAATATTTCAATGACATCAAGTACAAATACTTTGACTAAATAAGGTTATAAATTGTATCTAATATATAATGTATCTATATATATTTGTTATAATTACGATATATTAGGCACTGACAATGAAAGTTGAAAAATTTTAAGGTATATACAGATGTTGTTGTATAGACTAAATAAATGCACCAGCTTGCTGTGTGTAGCTAGTACATTATTAGAAAGTTGTCTTATTATCATAAATGTCACTGTGTCACCCAGTGAGAGAACTAAATTAATCTGTTACAAGTATATTTAGTTACCAAAAGAGAGTTGAATAGATATTATTACAACATTTGTCCTGACAACTTTGTATCATTATTGTTCCCAAACTGAAATATTAAATTATCACCATTGTTTTACGATTGAACAATTAAATTATCACCATTGTTTCACGTTTATAAATCAGGTAAAAATACATTTATTTGTATCTGCAGCCCTATCATTCCCAGATGCAATGTTTAACATGCTCTTAATCTGCTATAAAGTTAAACAACCACTACTTTTTTCCTGACAGAGAGATAGGAAAATATTTATGATCACTTTTATTACACGAATATTTCTTTAAAGTTCCTCTATAGCAATAATAAAATATGATCAGTAATGTAAAGGCTTTCAAGCACATTTTGAACAGTTAAATATTATCTTTAACACCATCATGTGTAAAGAGTATGAAAATAACTAACTTTTGAAAGTGTTTTCTGTTTCAACAGCCGACGTCTTTTGGTACAAATTTGTCTGATATTCATGACTGTCAGCAGTTTATATAAATTTCCATTTATGTATTTTCTTTACTCATCGTAACATTTTTGACACCTTGATGTTTTTTGCACAGAGTAAATCGTTCATTTTCAGTATTTTAAGGTAAAAAATTCGGTTACATTCCATTCGGGTATGTTTTTATGTAAAAATTCACAGCCATTTGAATTGATAGTCGCGGGTTCGAATCCCCGTCCCACCAACATGATCGTCCTTTCAGCCGTGGGGAAGTTATAATGTGACGGTCAATCCTACTATTAGTTGGTAAAAGAGTAGCCCAAGAGTTGGCGGTGGGTGGTGATGACTAGCTACTTGCCCTCTAGTCTTACACTGCTAAATTAGGGACGGCTAGCGCAGATAGCCCTCGTGTAGCTTTGCGCGAAATTCAAAACAATAATAAAGTATTGTTCAAATCATTCAATAAAGTTTTTACTCCAAAATAATGCAAGTTATGTAAACAGTTAATGTATGACATTATCATTTTGTTCTGTCGTCTTTCTTTCTTTATTAAAACCATGTATGTTCAGTTTTTTATATCCCGTTAATTTTAAAAGATTATTAGAGAAAGGAGTGGAAAACTGTGTTTTATAAAGGATGTAAAGTCTACATGTACGTTAAAAAAATCAATTGGACAAATTCGAGCGCTTTCGAAAGGTAGACCTTTCTTCATCAAGGGTAGACGGGGATATACAGTTTGTTTTGAATTTCGCGCAAAGCTACACGCGGTCTAGCCGTCCATAATTTAGCAGCGAAAGACTAGAGGGAAAGCAGCTAATCATCACCACCCACCGCCAATTCTTGGGCTACTCTTTTACCAACGAATAGTAGGATTGACCGTAACATTTTAATGCCCCACAGCTGAAAGGGCGAGCATGTTTGGTAGGATGAGATTTGAACCCACGACCCTCAGATTGTGAGTCAAGCGCCCTAACCTGGCCAGGAATATACAATGTTACAGAACATAAATGTTGGAATCAAAATGTGTGGAGGTGGGGGAGAGAACAAAGTTGGAAGTGATTTAAGATTGCCAAAAGTGCAACTGCCAAATGTAGACTGAAAGTATGGAAAGTTCGGGAACATGCCCCTAGGAAAGTGTTAATAATTAGTGTGATAATTTTGGCCTATTTTTTATGCGGTGAGGGACGAGATGTGGTGGAAATCGGAGAAAAAACATAGGCGAAATGAATGTGAAAATAAAGCGTTTAACGACCAACTTACACGACTTTAAATCTTTCTTTTACTTTAATCTTTTTTTCTTATTATCTTTATTTTCTTTATAACCAGCATATGAGTAATTTATGAGTCTTTAGTTGTCATACTGAGTCATTATTCAGTGTCAAAAACTCAATTCAAGTTGGGGAAATCGTAAACTTTTCGCTTCTATTGGTTTGGCGAACACTTCTTTCATTTGTATTTGATGGATTAATATGGCAAGTAATTGGTATTAATGCGGAGATACCATCATATCGTAGTGCGTCTACAGGCAATGGGTAAGAAAAATGGTGTCTTTGACTTCCAGTGAACATCACAGTCACCGCAGTAATCGTTTGCAAACATCCATGAACTAACTGTAGTCCATATTCCTTGAGATCAAGCTTTGTCGCAGTGGAATGTGGTCTAACCCATTATGAGGTGGAGGCCCAGTCGGCAATTTGAAAATTGTGAAATGTCAAGCCCACAGAAAAGAAAGAAATTTATACGAGAGCACAGGCGCAAAGATGAACTTCTAAGTATATTATCTCTTCCCAGAATAACTGCAGCAAATGGTTCGTTAAGGTCCATGCTTGGTCAAGTATTTCAATAAAGTCTTTAATCTCACCTTTAGTGGCGATAAGACATTTCTAGACCACTTTTTCGGCCACTATTAATCGTTTTTTTTTCTGTACATGTACCTCTGATAGAATATTAGGTTTAAGCTATTTCAGTTTAACTCAACTTCAGTATTTTTGGAGGCACTTTTTTTTCTGTATTCTAACATTCCATTTCACCTTTTTTCTTCACACTTCTAAGAGTTCTTTTAATTTTTTTACCAACCTCTTCAGACTTTATAATTGTGTTCACACTAATAATCAATGGCTTGCTGCCTGGTTTCTCAATACGTCCAGTCCCTGGCTTTGCATTCTGTTATCTTCTGTATAGCCACCAACTTTATATTGACTGCTAAACTTGAATTACTGAACACCAAGGCGTCAGACTCCTTAAAAGATCTTGCTTTTGCTAACCCCAACTTGAGTGAGTGTCATATCTACCTGGCCTAGAGGACATAATGTCTGTAGTAATCACTTCCAGTGTGAGCTACGGGTGAAAACTAGAAGACAATATGGTATAAAACCCATACAAAGATCTCCAGCTTTGAAACGTCTCTCCACTATCAAGCAAAGTCACATCAAAACTTCTGCAAAAGGAGAACACAATGCTGGTGGAATAGTAATAATGAAAGAGTCCGGAAAACACGAAATCGTTTCCAGGCTGAGATCATGTGATTAAGGCATTACTCACCCAGACAGAGGGGGAAGTGATTTTACGGAATTGAACCTTTATTCTTTAGAAGAAATTAGTTTTCAAAGCATGAGGCAAGAAATGGATTGAACTATATAGCAAGGCCAATTCCACAATCACTTCATTCTGGTGCTTATAGTTGGTACAGGAGCCAAAAATATGGTGATGACAATCACTTACGATGATGACAGTACCCTACTCTACGCAGATGAAGACCTTTATGTACATATACATTAACCAATGTAAACATGACAACCCTATTTAAGCTACAACAATATGCAAATATGAGAGCCATATTTAGCTTAGACGAGATACTCGTAGCCATAAATACATCTAAAGCTGGAACTATAGGTCCAGGTGGTGTAAGAATCTCCACCTTTAAAAAGCTTACAAAAGCCAATCCGTTGAAGTTAGTGCTGGAGTATCTGTAGCTAGACAAAAGGTAGCGCCCCGAAATATGGACTGATGCCTTTACCAAACCCATGAAGGGTCAATCTTGTTTATAAGGCCATCGAATCATAATCTTAAAAAAATCACCGAGAAGACTCCAGAGAATGCCGTAGCTAGAAGACTTAACTATCAGATTGAACCACTAATACCATCATAATTAGGTGGTTATCACGGTGAAAATGAAACTTGGATCAATGTTACAAAAATTGCAGCTAAAACATGAGGGTGCTTTAAACTGGACAGTACACTGTGGTAGCAGTTTATACCTAGACTATATCTACACTAGAAGCCAGATGCCCATAATAGACATCAGTGTAAGATGGCTCATAGCTACACTAACTACCAAATGTTAGATAACATGGGGGCTGAATATCAGTTTGGATCACTATCAATACTTATCTTCCTCAAGAATACCCACTCTTGCCAGTCCTCTTTAATATCTAGACCACATTGACAGTCCAACCAAATGCTCCGTGCTAACCTTTTCTGACCACATTCAAATAAACAACAAAGACTCTAGCAAACCTGAAATTGAAAGCAAAATGCAACCATCCCTTATCATGGTGAGCAAATGGTGCAATGACATGGGAATGGTTATCAATCCTGCTAAAACTACAGCCACGTTTTGCATACCCAACAATAGACATGCTGATGAAAACAAACCATTACCATCCTCTATGGGTACTGCTATTCTTCGAAAGAAACAATGAAGTACATAGATGTAACCTTTGACAGATAACTTAACTTGAACAGTCACACAACTCCATAATAACCAGAGCTATCAAAGGCATCAATGCAATAAAAATTACACCAGGAAACAGAGTCGAAAAATATCATTTATGATGTACCAAAGTCTTATCTGCTCTATCCTTGATTATACATTGCTTATGATCAGTATAAGAGTTACACAGCTAGATAAGGTTGAAAAGATACACAATATCGGGTTGAGACTGGTCACTGAATGCACTTCATGCAACAGTGCTTTCAAGCAAAACTTAACTGAGGCCTTACTGTGTAAAGAATGTGTATTCCATTATCGAGCAACTGCCATTTTCAATTGGGAAATTCCAGCTCTACAATAACCCTCCTGAAATCAATCAAGCAGAGGATTATCTAAAAGGTGCCTCAAGAAACAATCATAAGTGGACAGTTGCTACAAAGCCACCAATGAGACAATTCGTCACCAACAGATCTTAGATTTTTCCATGTGGAATAAACATTTGGCATCACTGAGATCTGTAGGAATGAAGATGTTGTGCAGGTGGAGAAGCACAAACGCATTTCAGCACCTTGTAAAGACCATAGTGGACAGTTTACTGTCACCAAAACCACAGGTGACTTCTATATCAAAGATAGCGAGAGAACGATCTGGTCATTCATTGTTTGGTGGGGCAATAACATTTTGCATAAAGCTAGTGGAACATTTAAATTTTTCTACAAGCAGCACGTGGAAGGACCGGAAACAAAAAAGCAAGATCTTCTCTCCCATAGTTTACTGAAAGAAAAGAACAATAAATAAACTGTGCCACCAAAATGATGTTTAAGATTGACTCAGATGTAGTACTATGTAAAATTCAGAGTGGTTGGTCCCCAGATGACAGCGGATGTCAGAAAGTAAAGCTAACAAGCATGCAGGAGAAGCTTCTTTATCAAATCTATCACAACCCTACCGGCAGGATATCGACCTTCTCCACACTAGTAAGGTGAAAGTGGCAACATGGAAGGTCTTCATTCACATTAAGAGGGAATGAGACTGATGGAAAATACTATACCACATAGTTTAACTAAGGAAATCAAAATAAGGGGAATCAGTAATACATAAAACAACCAAAAACCACTGGTACTATTAATAAACGAGCTCTTTCCTACTTCGTGTGGAGTAGTCGGTCTCCACATGAGGGGTTAGCATCTGTCTGTGCAACCCTGAAATTGTCGTCTAGTACTCAATTCAACTCCGGCTTTATTTTTATTTACCCTATAATTTACCTATTTACCCTGCAATTCAAAAGAGGTTTCACTTATATTTCTTTTGCAATTCACCATTTCCTGTCTTCCCCCTGTTTGCTGTAAGTGTATCAAAAATGTTTTTATCTGTATCGTCACCCTCTCTATCTTCACTGAGGGAATTGTATTTGTTTTTGGAGGTCTGGGTAATTCTGTACATATCTTCAGGAACACGTCTCGTATACCTCAAGCTGTCACATCCCTCCAGGTTATAATAAACTGGAAAACCAATTGAGCGACTTTCTTATCGTAGCCTTTTTTCTTAAAGTTTCTTCATTTTTTAGCCGAGAAACTTTGAAGCAGAAAAAAATATGGGTATCTGAGTCGTGGTTCTTTTATTTCCCATCAAATTCGTTTCTTTACTTACTGAGCGCACAAAGCCCAGAACGTTCTAAATACCTCTCTATCTCTAGTGAAGAAATCGAATCTTCTCTTAAATCTGATATTTTCCGTCAGTCTTGCTCTTCTCTTTCAAAGTGAACTGTCCCCATGTAAACTATCAAACTGTTATTTTTCAAACTTCTTTGTGTAACACAATTGTTCAGGTGAACTGAACTTAATGATGCTATTTTACGAAACTCAAATCAGATTTTCAAATTGTTCATTTTCTTAACTTAACGCTTTCTTTGTGGATCTTTATAATCACCTAAAGGCTGTTACCAAACGCCATCTGTCCACTCTGAACTTTGCTTTCTGTCGTACATATCATTCAAGAGTATCTGTATTAGATATTTTTTCCTGTAAGTTTTCCTTTCCTGGTTGGACTTTTTTGTACTTATATTCTTAATTTATTTTAGACAACTGTTTACTAGTCACTTCCCCTTTTGCGTTTCTTGTCGTGTTCTTCCATCTCTTCAGTTTATCTTTGTTTAATTTATTTTATATCTGAATTTATCTTTCTTTCGTAGGCTACTGTTCTGTTTTGAATTTTGTGCAAAGCTACACGAGGGCTATCTGCGCTAGCCGTCCCTAATCTAGCAGTGTAAGACTAGAGGGAAGGCCACCGACCGCCAACTCTTTTACCAACGAATAGTGGGATCGACCGTCACATAATAACGCCCCCACGGCTGAAAGTGTTTGGTGGGACGGGGATTCGAACCCGAGACCCGCAGATTGCGAGTCGAGCGCCTTAACCACCTGGCCATGCCGGACCTTTGTAGGTTACTTAATTTTCAAGTACTTTTTACGTGTTCCTGGAGACTCAAAAGGATACGTCCTGCGCTTTACAAAATCTGCCCTGAATTTTGTATTTTTATTTTTTTCTGTGAACAAATCCAAATGCCATGAATTAACCCGAGTTTACGGTGTAGCGTTATATTCTCCGGCTAACAAATCCACAAGTGAATCACACAAGTGTAGAGGCAACATTTTCTAGATATAAGGTTGCAGCTTTCGAAACTTTTTTACCTAATACCTGTGACATTTAAGTCACTAATTACAACGTAATTCTTTCATAATCAAGCAGATCATAAATGTTTTTTTTTCAATATTTTATCCCCCTCCCCTGTGGCTCAGCGGCAAGTCTGCATACTTACGACGCTAAAATTTTTATAAGTCAAGAAACATAACTTAATTATACTCGTATAATAAATATTTCTCTAAATAGGTTCCAACATTACGTTTATTTTTTGTCATACACAAAATTCTCAGAAAAATCTTCTAATATTCGAATTCAAACCAAATTTCTAAGCTCAAATATATATTCCTTCCAGGTTGTTGTAACTAAAGTGCATCCCAAGCACTTCTCGGGAAGAAAACTCGTTTGCTTAATTAAAAAGCATTCGATGAACTTATTTACGTCCTTGTAAACTAATGTGATCACCACCTTATTTGGTATTTTGTTTATTTTATTTAACCTATTTTGATATTTTATTCATTGGCCTTTGGTTTTAATGATATTTTCATATTTTTAGGAGCAGTCAAATCATTCACGGTAATAAAAACTAACTTGTTTTATGCTTCAAAGATGGCGCTATATAAGAAAAAAATCCTGCACATGCGCAGTAGCGGTGAACGATGAAGAAAGAAGTTGCGTGAAATGGATTGTACTAGTGTAAATACAACAGAGATGGTAGTGGGTAATGACGATATAGGTTGGGCCCTGAACACTTTGCTTCATGCCTAAATCTGAATGATAGCATTTATTGTTCTAGAAGAGTTGGTCATTTATTCATTTTATAGAACTTGCAAGGAAAGTCGAAGTCATGAAATAGAAAAATTCAGTTCATTAATTTATGATAACGGACACACGGACTGAAATTTCCTGTCAATTCCTGCTAGAAGTGATACCATTCCGGAGACAACTTGACACTACCACATATGAAGCTGTTTATGGAAAACCTGTCCATAACCTCGTCAATGCTGGCATTTTTGATGGTCATTGTTCTTCTCATCTCGATATGTGAGGCGTTTACAACAATCACCAGCACACAGGGGGGTAAGTTTTGATAATTTTTTAAAAATAGAAAACTAGATTTTAATATTTATTTAAAGCAACAATCATGCATCGTTGTTGAGAAAATAATAATAAAGTGAGGGATATTTATATTTTATGCAAATAGTTGAATTCCGGTCAGCATCAAAGTTTGTATAAGATCAAATATTCCCACTTACACTTTTGTATTATTATAGTTATGTAGCCAATATCTAAAAGCTATACAATTGAAGTGTGCAGTATAATAATTTGACTAAACGTTAACATTTGGCAGAGAAATAAAAACAAATACAATAAGACCTCTGAAAGCACATGTTTAAAATTAAAATAAATTATGTTTTTTATCTAAGTGGTACTCTTATTTTGGAACGAGTTTTTTATACTTTATACTTGAGTTTACATATTTATGTCCAGAAGTTGTTGAACAATCACCAGAAACGCTGATAATGATGAATAGCTCTCGTGTTTTGTAAGTGCGTTTCAGTAAGTTAAACAGTATAATACATGACATGCATGTACAGAGGGCGTCACCTACCTTGATTATATGACACTTTAATTTTGATTGTATCAATTCGTTCTGGAATGAAAACGTTTGAAAGAATTCTCATTAAATATTCACGAGACTAAAGGTTATTTTTAAAATGTGCGACACCTAATGATATAAATATTAAATATTTTGTGACTTTTTTTTGCCTGATATACTAGTGTGCAGATTCGTTAATGGATGAGTCCACTGAAATTCCACTGAACTTTCGGACTTAATTATATGTCACGAAGCACGTAACAAAACCGTCATCTTGTGTTTCTACATTCCTAAAGTATTGCTGGCATCAGCTTGTAAAAAATGTTTGACCAGATGCGAGATAAAACAGTTAATCATACTCCATAGAAACCTTCAAGTTTTCAATAAACAGAATCCCAAGCTTTCTTCAAAAACAAATTTTATTGATTTAATGCGTGTGGCGATACAAAAGGAGAAGAAACAAAAATGACATTTTATTGCGCAAAGAAAACAAAAATGCACCGTAAACGAGATTAGATAAAAGAAACGAAACTGAACTGAACTAAATACTGAAATTGCTGAAGGAAAGAACAGCACTTGGAGTGTCTTGGTCAGCTCGAGACAAAGAAACAGACAGCTGATTTCTAGCTGGCGTTCCAGAGGAACTCAAAAGTTGGAGAAATCCCAACTTAGTAACCAATCGCAATTGTATACAGACATCTCTTCCATCCCATATGAAAAGCAGAAAGGTATAGCTTGCCATGGTCAGTTACGGCCACTATTGCCTAGGTTATCACTGAGATAGTAGATACAGTCTAAACTGATGCCATTTATAGAGGCTTCACCCCTACGACTGTGTTTGTACATGGTCATAATTGACACCCTTGTTTCTATCTAATGTGCACGAAACTTCAAATATTTTGTGTTTAAAACTTAACTAAAATTTATAGCATGATAAAGTTAATGGAACACACACCGAGCTATATCAAGCAAATACATATAAAACTTAACTAAAATTTATAGAATGATAAGGTTAATGGAAAACACACCGAGCTGTATCAAGCGAATACATACAAAACTTAACTAAAATATATAGAATGATAAAGTTAATGGAACACACACCGAGCTGTATCAAGCGAATACATACAAAACTTAACTAAAATTTACAGAATGATAAAGTTAATGGAACACACACCGAGCTGTATCAAGCGAATACATACAAAACTTAACTAAAATATATAGAATGATAAAGTTAATGGAACACACACCGAGCTATATCAAGCAAACACATACAAAACTTAACTAAAATTTATAGAATGATAAAGTTAATGGAACACACACCGAGCTATATCAAGCAAACACATATTGCTATTCTTATTTTTGTGTGATATATTGAAGAATTGAGTGTAATTTATAATGAGTTCATTTTGGTATAATTATGACCACTTAAATAGCGTGGTGTTAGATGTTACTCTATGGTTGATCTATAGCCAAAACAGCAATCATGTTTAATGGCAAAGTATAGTAACGAAATACTGTTTTCTCATTAATATTTAAAATAGGTTTTAGGCGGTGAGTAATGATACGTTTTGGGTAGTCACGAGCTTCATCCTCTCGCATTAGTTAGAGATGAACCCGTTTCGAATTACTAACGTGGATCTTCATCGGAGATATGATGAAGATCTGGTTTGCAGTTCGTAGCGTCGTCTCCAACCTATCGCAGGAGGAATATACTCATTACGTTATCAGTAATGAATGTTTGTTTTTTATTTTTCAGTTTTAATCTATATTAGGCTCGTCTATTAACTGTTCAACGTTTTAAAATAGTTTTACAGGTAGTTTAAGTTCAATCCATAAGCTAATTTTTGTATTTCATGGCATAAGGGATAAAATCGCAATGATAGAGCCTTAATCTGATTTCGTATCCTTCACACTCACTTCAGCAAAATATTGACCACGTTTGTACAGTTAATTCATTATTAGGACAGTTGTGTTACCAAAAATAATTTCAGAAATATAAATTATAAACGAAGACTGAAACAAACGTGTTTGAATGTTTATAATTATTAAGCATTTATACAGAAAAGTATATTTTTTAACTTTTTTATAGTTAAAATTTGTATACACCCTTGTTTGTTTGTTGATAAGCACAAAGCTACACAATGGGCTAACTGTGCTCTGCTCAATTTTTAGCGTTATAAGCCCTCAGGTATGCCGCTGAGCCACCGGGGGCTGGGGGTAGGTGAGAGTTATACACTTGTTAACTCTTAAATTGCTGAGGAAGATATAGAACTAACTGCTCGGAAAGATCATAATTCAGTTTTACTTCGGATTTTACTGATAGAAAAAAAGCGCCACCTTGCAGTTCTCAACTATACATTGTTTTATGATACGTTTATTTTTAACATGATTTGTTTATACTAATTATATTCCAGAGAAGTTACGGAGGTATGAGTTTCGAGTTATGTAACCCAATAATAATGTACGAAATACATATTGTTGGACTAATTTTTAGTGTTACGTCATATCGCTCCAACGTGTTCGGATTAACATACTTAATAATGACTTTGTTATCAAAGAAAATTGTGCTGTTTTTATGTGTGTTTGTGGATAATCTTGTGTGGTCAGCAAATAAACGTGGAAATACTTAGTACACAGCAGTAAAAAATACAAGAATTACAGAAAATGTTTGTCTTACTGCATTAAAATACGTACAAGATATATTTTATATTTATTTTCCAACTATACGGATATCGCATGTAATGCTAAAATATAGCCAGTATTTTGAAGTTTTTGTACTTGATGGCTTAAAAGCAATGTAACACTTTTGTATTTCTATTCAAGGTGCTGTTAAATTACACAGGCCTGCGAACTTAAACGTCGTAAAAGTTGTTTTGGTTTTAATAAAGGGTTTTCCATAATTCAGCTACCCAGATTTCGAAACAATATTCATTTTTTTTCTATCACCTAAGGATTTTTTTTTACAAATCGGGAAGAAAAAACAAAAACTCTCACTTAGATGAGATTTACCACAAATATAACAGAATATGTATGGGTCACTTACACAACCTCTTGTTACCATAGCGATGAATAAATAATATTCAAAAGAAAAAACATTGTCAAAATACACGCACAAACAAATACTATCCAGAATCGACACGTCATTCGGCCTATTAATCGTTTATACACTAGCGGTGTGTTTCTCGTTTAGAACGATCGATAAGACTCTCACGTCGCGATTGGTCTAGAGAAATCTATAGCCAGTGGTTGTCAACATTTTAGCATAACAAAATGTGACCCGATTTCAATGAAAATGATTCACTTATTTAAACGTACATATGACGTTTTGTGGAGAATCTGTACCTGATGGAGAAAAGTGGATATCATTTTCAGATTCAGCGTACAGGAATTACTGGAGAACATGTAAAAATATCAAGATAATAAAAACCATCATAGGCCTGTGTTATCAATATAACGTTAAAGAAGCTGGTGAAACGTAAACAGTCTTCAGTGCTGTTCATCTAAACAGTTTAACTACTTAAGTGTTCCATTAACTTTTGACTTCCATTTATCAATTAGGTCACAAAGGCATGGTTTAGGTTTCGATTTTCTCTTGGTTCGTTCTTTTTTTTGTCTATTCTTGTCTATTTCTTACCCTATGAAACATAAAAAGGATAGTTAAATTGTGTGTTAAGTAAAAAAGTAAGTTTTCTGCCTACGTTTTTAATAATATTTAAAACAATTTTTACTGTTTTAGATAGCGTCTGAACCGAGAAGTTTGTATAGGGGAATTTTAACCTTTTTTTTTCACTGATCTATATTTATTACTGTTTTAGATAGCGTCTGAACCGAGAAGTTCGTGTAGGGGAATTTTAACCCTTTTTTTCACTCATCTATATTTATTACTGTTTTAGATAGCGTCTGAACCGAGAAGTTTGTATAGGGGAATTTTAACCCTTTTTTCACTCATCTATATTTATTACTGTTTTAGATAGCGTCTGAACCGAGAAGCTTGTAGAGGGGAATTTTAACCCTTTTTTTCCTCATTTATATTTTCTGTCTTCGTCAATATAAGTATGGATAAGGGAACACTTTTAACATTTACCAATGATTTTAAAACACTTTTTTGACATTTGTCAACTCCTTTTCCATCTGTAACGCATATCCTGACTTTTTAAAACGGGAAAACATTTTTGACGTTTCCTGGCTTATTTAGCTTGCAATAAATCCCGACATGTTGATAGTTACAAGTGAACTTCACTAATTCTTGCTATTTAAAAGATAAAGTGTCATAGTATTCTCAGTGTAACTTTATACACGCTGCACATGATTTCAGCTGGTTCTATTTGACACCGTTTATGCACATTATGTCGTATAAACTCATGAATGATTAACAGGTGAATCAATACTCATTCACCATTCAAAGATTCCAGACACAGGATGGATAGCAACAAGTCAAAATCTGCATTTAACATAAGTTCTATACGACGGTAGGCAACGT